CCAGTGGGACCCATGGCCCATTTTCCACAGAGGGATAGGGACATCAAGCTACTTAATGTGTGGGGTCTCCATCCAATACAGTACATGGATAGTATGAAGCTGTGGCTGTTCCCTGAGGTCACTTTGCTCTTGGTTGAAATTAGGAGATGAGGTCCACCATCAAATTTAAATTGAAATGGAAATAAAATGAAGGGAATCAAAATAAATCTGCACCTAATGAGTCACTCATTGAAATGTATTAAGATCTCTGTGTATTTAATCTGCAGCCTGAGCTTTACATTGTGGGAGATTGATGCCTTCGCAGCTTCCCATTTTTCCTCTTGCAGCTTTCATGAGCACTGATGGTAATCTCCTGAGAAACAATATGATTTGGTAATAAAAAGATTACCTGTATTAAATAAAAATAATATATACATAGGAAATATTGTTAGTGCTACAAATCTGGTTAAAGATATTACCACAAAGAAAAATGTTATTTTTTTCACAGCTGTCTAATGCATTTTAGCAAAAGTAATATCTTTAAAACTTAAGCCTGTATTATTTATAAAGGAAGCAATAACTGATTTTCCTATTGCCTATATTAATAAATGTATTTGCATACATTTGTTTCAAAATTAATGGGTTTTCTCACTTCTGCAATACAAAAGAAAGCACCAAATCCCCTAGAAGAAGAAGTGGAGTTGCTTTGTTTCCCCTGCTGTAAGTCTGTGGCTGACATGAACTGCAGTGGCTGCTGGCCTGAGTCCCAGCTAGGACTTGATTCTCAGGAAAGGAAAGCAGGAAGGAAGGAAAGAGAAGAGTTAGAGAAGATAGAAGGAAGAAAAGGCAAGGAGGGGAGATAAAGACAGATGCACAATTCAGATTTGCAGGGTGCTGCATAAGGAAAGACCAAAGCCAAAAGAAATAGACAAATAAAAGAATCAACTCTGGAAGTTGGAAGGAAATAAAGTGATCAGAGAGAATTCCAGAACCAAAGTCTTTCCTGCTTCTATTCTGCAGATATTCTTGAATATCAAGAACAATGAGTTCTAGTGTATCCAAATGGACTGTTAAAAATAATAGCAAGGTCATGATTGTCAACAGCAGACCAACTTTGTATTGGCAGAGAATCCCATGCAACCTTCCAGCCAGAAGACCCTGGAGCCAGGCCACAACTAGAGAGCTCTGTGGCAAACTGTCAGAGCATCTGGCTTTTAGCCCAGTTTAGACATCACTTAAAAAGTATAACAACCAAAAATGCAGCTTGGGATTCAGAAGCAATTCAATCTGATGTACCTTTCCTCAGCTGCAAGTGCACAGTACTGCTACAGAAAAATCAAAATGTGCCCCCTTCACCTGGGGACACAGAATACAGTGCATCACGGTCCCTGGATAAACACTTCAGCCACTGTGTCCTCAAACCCCTCTCTGCCACAGCAGGGAAAGCATGTTGGGGGAAAGCAGTCAATTCCCAGTCTACCGCCATAGGAAACTCAGAAACTGGATGTGTTTCAGGACACCTGAGTGCACAGGTATTTCACAACACTTACTGGAAAGTTGGGCCTCCCTTCCATCCAGGCCTAGCCCAAAGCAACCCACTCACACCTTCAGCTTCATAAGCAGGTCGACAATCCACACTTGCCCTAGCCATTCTTGCTAATAGTTTTAAAGTCTGCTCAACAAATAATCACTTAAAGAACCTGTGAACATGCCAACTGACCTAAGATGATCCATCAAAGAGGCAGTGTGCCCTGGGAGAGAGAGCTTAGGCCTTGGAGTGGGCAAGAACTGGAGGGGCTGCTTACTTATGTGCAAGTGAACGAGAGATTCTTCATCTCTTTAACCACCTACTCCTTCCTCTGCAGAACTTAGATATTTGTTGTGCATGTGAAAGCAATTATTTGTGTATACATGTGTGTGTGTGCATACACATCTATGTGCATGAGTGTACAATGTGTATGTCTGGGTGTACATGTGAGTGTGCGAAGGTTCAGATCTGAAACAGCCCCAAAGCCTCATGTGTTTGGAAGGCAGCTGAATCCTGGGGTGCTACCCTCATTGGTAGATTCAGCAGCTGAGTGTACTATTAGGGCTGTCTCCCTAAGGGTGTGACCCTGAAATATTAATCTCCCTCCTCTCTCTGCTTCCTCTCCACCATGAAGTGAGAAGCTTTCCTCCATCAGGGCCTTCCCAGTGCCATTTCTGCCTTGCAACCGGCCAGCCAGTGACTGAAACTTCTGAAACTGAACCAAAATAAACTTTTCTTCCTTTACTTGGTGGGTGTCAGGTGTTGTGTCTCAGGGATGAGAAAGGGACTGATACAGAGAGTAATACATACAGGTGAGTGTATGCATGTGTGTGAACCCACGCACATGTGCATGCTAGTGGGTACACATGCATGTGGCATGTGCACGTGTGTTCACATGTATACATGTATTGTGATAGATCTCATACAGTGCCCAAGGCACACAGACTGGTACCATGCCAGGTGCCATACCCCTGTGTCCTTTCCCTGGGTAGACAAGAAGGGAGAGCCACCCTGGTGCAGGCTCCAAATTCCATGTGTGTGAGAAAGGCAGCCAGGAGCTCCCAGAAAGAGAAGGAAGAGACAGAAGATGGGGGAAGAGAGGAAGAGAGAAGGAAGGGGTTCTCTCGGGGCAGGAATAGAGGTAGAAGGATGAGGCACTGGAAGACCTCAGGGTGGGCATGTGAAATACAGAAGGTATCATGAGGCAAAGCCAGCGCTAAGGGAGGAAGGGCTGGTGTGTGAGGGCAGGGTGGAGGCGGAGCACTGTTCCAGGAGTTCCTGTGGAAAATGACAGGCTCAACTCCTACCCCAAAGCTAAGAGCTGTGACCTCACACATATTTGGGAAGCCATCAGGCACCTGAGTGAATCTGCTCCAAATGGAGGCCACCAGCTCTTCTCCCTGTAGGAGGCAGCTCTTCCTGAGACAGGAGGATCGCAGCTGTGCATGGGGGAATCAGAGTGGCCGAGTACCCCACCCCCACCCAGATAAGGGCTCTTTCAAAGGAAACTGAGGCTGAGTTAGGCAGCACTAACCATTAGAAAGTTCTAGAAGCAGGAGTTTATTCTAACATGGCTGGACTCTATCACATGTGCCACTATAATGCCTGGCTAAGACTGTACCCTCATAATTATACTATGTTGGGGACCCTAAAGGGCCTCCTGAGTCACAGTTAGGGCCCTGGAAGACCCATGTCCTGCCAGTTCTGTTGGGGCCTAGCTGGAGCCTCCAGGTCAGGGCCCTGGAAGATCCATGTCCTGCCAGTTCTTTTGGGGCCTGGCTAGAGCCTCCAGGTCTACCCTGCACACCTGGCAGTGTCCCAGGCTCACACCAAGGGTCAGGAGGCAAGAGCTGGGGTACAAGCAGTGCATGCAGATGTCAGGGGTTGGGCACTGACCTGGGCACCCAGCTCCTCCTCTTGGCCATCAGGAGCCCCCTGGTAAACAGCTAGGATGGCCAAATGCTGCCTGGGCCTGGCCCTTTCCAGTTAGTGTCTAACACCAGCCTGCCAGCACTCCTCAGGTGGTAAGGAAAGCCTGTCCCCACTGCTGGTAACTGCTGACTTCACAGGGATGCAACTTAATTAGCTCACTGCTTTATTTCCATTTCTTATTAAAAGCAGCAGCAGCAGCAGCCATCACCACTGCTGTGTACTCAGTGGGCACCGGCTGCCTTCTGGCCCCACCCAGGCTGGGTCGGATGTGAGAACACCCAACACTTTTGCTGGGGCAGGCACAGGGCCAACAGGATGTGGCCACCTGGTGATGCAATTTTCTAGAGGCTCTGGATGTGGGCTCCAGGCCAAAAGACTCATGAGAAGTAGAGGACACTGCAGGGGACCAGGGACCTGCCCCAGCCCGGCAGACAGTGGCTCAGAGAGCAGGGATGATAAAGCGCATAGCTGACATGTGTGCTGTCATGCTGGTGTAATGGGCCACCTGCTTGGATCAAGGGTATACATAGCTGGCCCTCTGTGTCCAAGGGTCCCACATTCTCAGTCATCTCGAGAGGAGCTAAAGTAGCTGAGAGGCTTTGTGTGGATTCTAAGCAGATACATTCATTCTCCAAACCAGGCTGGAAGTCAGGGCCTTGGCTGGTGAGACTATGGGAAGCCTCTTCCTTGTCACCACAGGGATAAAAGAAATAGGACTGCCCCCAGGGAGGGGGGTGGAGGGCAGAGCCTGAGGATTACAGAACACTCCTGAGCAGGGCTGCTGAGGCCCATCCCCAAAGGGGAGATGGGCACATTCCCTCCCTCTGTATCCACTCCACTGCAAAGAGGTAAAGCTCATCTTTTGTTGAGGAAGAGCAGGAAATAGCTGGTTCTTTTGCTGGTTCCAGAGGATTGGTTCAACCCCGACCACAAGAAGTTATTCAGAGGTAGGAAAGTAGCTGAGAGGTGGATTCCAAAGCTCACATGGAGGGTCCAGATGGCTCCAATCTGGATGGGTCACTCTGCCAAAGACGGATTTGAGCCCAAAGGTGCCAGGAGTCACATTAGAGACCACACAGGGGCCTAGATGGCTCAGTTCAGATGAAAGCTTCTGCAGTTGGCTCTGCTCACGTCTCGCTATTTCAAACCATCTCAAACTAGATTTACCTGGTTACAATGAACCAAACTGGCTACCGTAAGCACAAAGGAATGATGAGTTTGAAAGTGGCCATTACCCACATGTCCTTGTGGGTCCACAGCACACCTGTTTAGTCTGGCTCATGCTTCGCTGGAATCTTAGATGCAGTCCAGACTGCCTTGAATTAGCCGCAGCCAGAGGAGACCAGCTTAAACGAGCTCAGGCCTGCTCTCATAGTAGAGCTGGCTGATTGCAGAAAGATGGAGAGAAGTCACCTGTACTAGGGGCTTTCCCCGCGTTTTACAACAACCCAGTGAGATGTGCATAATTAGCCCTCATTTCCAGAGGTAAAGTAACTTGAGATTTTCTTTCTAGCAAGTGGTGGAGCTGGGCTGTAAGTCTCACAGCCCAGGCTGTCCGAATTTTAATTTGCCTCCTCCTGTTGTGAAGACCCTTAGCAACAGGTAGAGCTGGGCCTTCCCACTTTAATGCATTCAGCTGAAAAGACAAGGGGAAACTCTGAAATTGAGTGCCCTGAGCATTTAAACATTTCAACTCCCTGGATGGAAAGTGATGGAATTCATCACTATCATCATCAACAGTGATCATCATTTCTTGTGGATTAATGAGCAACATCTGGATGGGATTCCTGGCATAAGGTAGAGCACTGGGACCATTCATTCTCCAAACTAAACTTAACTTAAAATGCTTGTTGCTAGAGAAAGGCTCAGGGGAAGCACATTTATTATTTTTGAGTGAATTTCCAGGGAGTGGGGGTTATACAATGTCTAGACGAGCCATGCTGTCAGGGAGTCGAGGAGAGACGGCTGTGCCAAGAAACAGGAGATGGGAGGGGTTTGCTTCTTACTGCACAAGGCGCCTTGACCTTGCATACCCAGTCCTGCGCAGGGCTCAGGAGTTGGCTTTTGTGCTGACCCAGGGTGGCCATTAGTCTCTCAGGGTCAACTTCCTCCAAGTGACTGTAAAGAGAGATCTTGCTAGTGAGCTCAGCCCCAACTCTATTCCTGAGATGCTCACAGGTCTCTGAGAGGTGGCTTGGGTGTCTCCGTGGGCAGCTGCCCACATGCCTTCCTCTCTGTGAACCATACAAGACTAGGGTGGGTCAGGCACAGCTGGCCCTGTATACATGCTTGAGGTAGGCAGAGCTAGCTGGCTGCTCTGGGCCTGCCTGAGGCTCTGTGTATCATAGGCTGTGCCTTTGGGGTCCCCATCCCTGCATACGTGCAGAGTCCCTGTGACCATGACAAAGTCACAGGAGAAGAGAGGAAAAGTTTCCTGGTTCCTCATATTGCTACCCAGACACCAACTCCCACCTTGGTGGTAGGCTGGCTCATTTCCAGCTCCCTCAGGGCTGCCACGGACAACAAAACACAGGAGGCCCAGCAACACTGAAACTCCAGATAAACAACAGATAATTTTTATATAAGTCATTGTTTATCTGAAAATCACTGTTTATCTAGAATCCAAATTTAACTAGTGATCATGTAGCTTTATTTGCAAAACCTAGCAACCGTAAGCTGGCATAACGATTTGTTGGTTTGTGGGTGGGCACTTCAGTTAGCTCTTGCCCCAGGTTAGCTGTTCATTTTAGTTTTCAAACATTTTGTTTGTCCTTTGGAGCCTTTCAGCTTGTATGTAGCAGATGTATGCAATCTGAACTCCTGAGTCATTTTCTTCTCATTGTTCCTTCTTGAGTTTATTTTTCTAATCTTTGCTTGCCTTTCTGTTCTCCAAGCCTCCTGCTTTCCTTCTCTACTACATTTATTTATGTTGAGAGTTTTTTCATCTCTTATACTCCTTGTTTTTTAGAATGTTTTTTTTTCTTGTAAGACTGTTGGACAGATGAGCAACAGAGTACCCCTGATGAAGAACAGCTGGCCTGGTCGAGATGAACCACAAGCCAGCAGCCAGCAGCAGCAGCAATTGTTCCCAGCTTGTGACACAGCTGTGGGTATGTGTGCGTATACATATACACATGTACATGTGTGTTCATGGAGAGTGGCTGCAGCTCACCTGCAGAGAGCAGAAGGCCTGGGTGAAAGGCGGCATCCGGACCAGGTAGGAGGCAACAATGATGGCGGAGGAGTAGTGGGTGTAGTAGTGGCACTGGACAGTCATGTCTCCTGCAACAGAAGGACATGGCTGAGGCCACTGGCCACCCATGTGGGCAAACACGCTCACCAGAAGACACACTTATGGAAAGTTAGGAATGGAGTAGAGCTGCAGAAGAGACATTAAGGCAGGAAGAGTACAGATAGCATGTGCACGTGTCAAACACCTCAAAGTGACATGCAGATACACTAGGTCTGGGGACCACGTTCTAGGGCCAATCCCAAGCCACCTCCATCCACCCTTTGAAGCTGTGATCCGAGTGTCAATGTCCTTTACTATATACATGAATGCAGATAGCCCTGTGCCTGACCGGAGGACAGGTACAATGAAGATGGTTCCACCACCTCTGCCTGCCCTTCCCTATGGGTTAGCAGCTCTTAGCATGCTACATACCACCCAGGATGGACCTTGGAGTCACCTAGGTGATGCTGTGCCACAGACTCATTTAAATCATATTTCCAGAGGTGAGCTCTGAACTTCAGAACTTCAAGACAATAGCTCTGGTTATTCCACGTGTCCCAGGAGCTCAGTGCAAACTGAGAAGTTCTCCATCGAGTGCAATCATGCATAGGCTAGGGGGCTGCCTAAGTGAATCCCAATCATTCTAGTCAAACAATACTGCACAAGAAAGACTGAACTGGGAGCTACGCACCTTCAGTCTTTTCAACTTCTTTAAACCTCTGCATGAATTTCAGCTTCCTCTCCTTGGTTTGAGCCCCCATGGGCTTGGAAAGATCCCGGAAAGTCTTGGGATTGGTCAAGTTCAGTGTCTAGAAGGTAGATGTGCAGCTGTGTTAACTCCCCACAGCCCTCTGTGCCTCAGGAGCCACGCTCTTTAAGTTTTATGGTTCCCTTTATTGGTTTATTGTCATTTGGTCTGACCCCCCTCTGGTGATTAGCTGGCCAGTGGGGTTTTATGGCCCTGGAGCCAGTGATCCACAAAGACTTAATAGGGGAGAGATGGGAAGTGAGAGGAGGGGAAGATTGAGTTCACACTGAACCTGTTCCAAGTTGACCCTAAGCAGAGCACAGGCACCAGTTACCAAAGAGAGACTTTCAAAACAATTCTCATCGCCTGAGAGGCATTTGGCTTCTGCCCACATGGAGTAATTTACTCCAGGAGTTCAGCTTCTCTGCTTAGCATCAAACTGATTTTATAGGATGCTGGAAGTCATCTGTTTTGGGGAGAAAAGGAGAGGAACATCGTGGCTTTCTGCAGACCCACTGACTACCTTCCAGGAATGAAGGCAGCAGTGTTCACAGTGAAACATGAAGGTTCAAGGCCACCTGTCCTCAGACACATTTTCTTTTTATTTAGTGGAGATGCCCTGTGTGTCACTGGAGGGCCAAGTCTTCCAGGCCTTGCATATTTCTCTGTAGGAAGAGACGCTTCTTTGTCAGCCTCTATTCTCCATAGAACTAGTCACAGTTGATCCCCTGGGACTGGGATGTCACCATCTCTCACCGTGCAGAAGCCAGGCCAGGGCAGAGGGAAGTGACAGACCCCAGTGAGGGATAGAGGAGACACTGCAGACCCACACCCATCTGACACCAGTTTTGCCTCTTAAAATGGCTCACAGGTGTCAGATTTTCCAAGATGTTGGAGCTCTAGATTTTTAAGAGAAATTTCTCAAATTTAAAACTTTAGTAAATAATAAAAAGTTTAAATGTGGACAATAGGTTAAGCAGAAAGGACTCATAAAATAACTACCCCCTGCCAAATCCTGAGTGAAAGCCAGAATTGGCAAGCCTTGTGTGGGGAAGGCCTGGCCTTGGGTGGGCCACAAAAAGCCACGTGAGGCTGGGAGGAAATCTTTTCTGCCTCCCATGTTTTAAGTAGGAGTGGGAGGTCACAACAGCCTGAGTCTCTTCTCCCAAGCCCTAGTCACTGCCACTCACATGTCACTGGGCAGTATGGGTGACCTGGTCAGCACCAATGACCCACCATCTTCTGTTCCTCATGCTTGGCCCAACCCAACCTCCACTGACCATAGACTTCCTTGGCCTGACTGATCCTGAATAGACACATGAGCCATGCCACCTCCTATTTGTGTGATTCTCCAGAAATGGAGCTGAGAGAGATGAGTGTCTGGTCTTGGCATCAGCCACCCGCTCAGAACATGTTTCAGGTCATGGGGATGCCAGGGGCAACCAACTCAGCCAGTCATACCTTGAGGGAGAGTTTCTCCATCCCTCTCTCTCTCCTTCTCTCTGTCTGTCTCTCTCTCTCTCTCTCTGTCTCTCTCTCTCTCTCTCTGCTATCCTCTCCTCTCTTCTCTACCCCTCTCCTTTGTCTCTTTCTCTATTTCTTTCCTGTCTTTTTCTGTCTCTTTTTTCTCTGACTCTCCTTTCTTCTGCCTCCCTCTGTGTCTCTGTCTTTCTTCACCTCTGTTTCTCCTTTCTGTGTCTCTTTCCTTTTCTCTGTCTCTCTGTCCCTCTCTTTGGCTCTATCTACTTTCTCTCTTCTCTGTCTCTCCTGTCTGTCTCTCTCTCTCTCTTTATCACTCTAATCTCTCTGTCTCTCCTTCTGACTCAGCACACAATGACCCCAAGAAGAGTCCCCAGCCTGTCTTACATATGACTGTCAGAGCTCACTGCTGTGCTAGTCAGGTGCTCACTCAACAGGAGGAGCTGGGTTGAACTCCAAAGGCTGCCATGGTGCACAGGCTGAGCAGAGGCTGGGCATGCTCACCGAGAGCACTCTGGGACAACCAGTGCACCATGAGGAGACTCACCTCAGAGGTGTAGTCAGCCAGCACCCAGGGGAGTACAGGGTACTGCATGTAGTCATTGTGAGTCCTCCCGGCCACAGTGTTCAAGTGAATGAGGTACTCGAAATTGCTGATGTCCCTTTTCTACCAAGAGAGACAGAGAGAACAAATCAGACATGTCAGACATCCTCTGAGGCCACAGGGGTCTGGCTCACAAGCCTGCTGGGGACGGCTAACCACACATGGCCCTGTCTTTCCCACATCTGGCATGGGACCAGTCCTGCAGCAGGCAGCCCTCAGGGATCAAGCAGAGGGTCAGAGTTCACCAATCCATACTCAACGGGGTTGAAAACAACAGCACAGGTGCTGGGGGTGAGCTTGCTTCTGGGCCTTCGTGGCCAGTAGAATATGCAGGGGGACATGGGGGACAGAGAAGGAAGCCTGGCCAACAGTGGGGCGATCTGTCTCCTCAGGGCTCCAGAAGCAAACTTGCTCCCTCCCTCTCGTCTAGGACTACTCTCAGGAGCTCTCTGCCATCAGGTGAGCAGTTACAAAGGGCAGAGGCCTTGTATTAGGGAGAAAGTCACCATGGCCACCCAGGAAGGCTTTCTCTATGAAGACCTGTGTGCTTAGGGTCTCTCCCACCTCAGCTTGTTCATGAGAGGTGTCTTGGATGTCTGCAACCCATTTCTACTTCTTGTTACCTCCTGATCTTAGGACTAGCTCCCTCAAGGTTCCTTCCTCATGAGGAAACTTGAGCTGGCATTAGCCAGGTATAACTTTCCAAGAATGAGAAGTGATACTCTGACTGTCTACAAGTGTACATTCATGTGCAAGTCCCAGGGAAGTGTGCACCACAAGGCACCCACAGTGCACACACATGTGTGTCCTCCCAGATCTGGTCCCAGGGCTCAAGAGTCACCTGGTGTCACTCACTGAGCCCTTGTCAGGGAAAGATTTGGGACATTCAGTGCCTGAAAACAAAAGCTCCCTCTGAATGAACTCATTCTTCCTCTCCAGGTCACTGGATCCTGAGCTCTCCTCTGGTCTACATCCCCACGGGGTTTCCCTACAGAGCCCACCATACCTGCCACCTCTGCAACATGGTCCTGTCGGAGCTGGGAGGTCGCCTGCGGAACAGAGATCAGATGGTGACCAACTATCCCCAGGCATGGACACAGGAACGAATGGAGTTCCTGGGGCACATTGAGCAGGAGGCCCTTGGCTTCCCAAAACACATGGAAAATCTCAGGGGCTGGGGCTGTGAGACCATTGCCCAAGCTCTCTACTACCCTCTTGCTGGAGGTTGGTTCTTATGGTTACTGCCTCTCTCACATGAATCTGGAAGGCACTGAGCACAGCCCTTGGGATACCCCTGGCCATGTAGGAACAGTTTTGGGCCTCCCTTCCCACCTACCCAGATTTCCCACAGCCACACCTCAGCTCCCTCTGCCCTCTACTTCCTCTCCTGACATAGAATATAATATATGTACAAGATTTTTTAAAAACCTGCAAACACCATGGAAGGCCATGAAATATGAGACTCTGGACCACAACTTCAACTCAAGAAGTATCCACAATTTACTGATTCTAGATCATTTCAGAAAAGTTTCACCCATATACCTGCCTACATGCTTGCACTATATTATCCTAACTGATCATATCCTGGTCATGAAGCATGCACAGTCCTCTCTGTGCTTCCCTTGCTCTGCATCTCCCTGAGAGATCCCTTGGCACTGCTCTGTGGAGCTCATTTCCACAGCCACAGGACACTATCCTGTGTGTGAACATGTCACTGACTTGCAGGTCCCTGGGGAGAGCCCTGTTTCCACCCATCATGGTTTTGTGACCACCTTTAAACATAAATCTTTGGACCCTTTGATGAGCTTATCCATGAGGTAATTTCTAAGTATAGCCAAATCATTCACTTAAAATGTTGTACCAACTTATAGTCTTGTAATTAAGGCATATGAATTGAACCAAATAAACATCACTATTGGCCATTATAAAGGAAAGAGTTTGAAAGTGTAGCAAAACACAACATTGGGAAGGGATGGGGAGGGGGAAGTGTCCCTCCTCCTTTCCCAACCATCCTCTTGTCTCCAGGAGACTCTTCCTTCTACTCTCTACTGAGTCTCTGCTTAATAAGCTCCACCAAACCCAAGTACTTCTCTTCACCATACCTGTCCTCCACCACAGTCCTGCTTTGAAGCCCACAGACCCCATCCCACATGCTCCACCCACCATGCCAAGAATGTCAAGATCCTGTGGCCTCCAACTTTGCTGCCCAAGTGCCTCATAGGGACCATACCCTCCATCTTTCCAACACATTGTCTGTCCTGAGTTCCCCAGCCTTTTGCGTTCACTTCTCTAAGGGTAAAACAACTCCTAGGCTGGAAATCACCACTTCCTTCCCAGCACAGATCCATTCTATCCAGGCAAAAACAACCAGAACAAAGAAACAATGCATAGTCACTTACTGTGCACTGAAAAAAAAGGAAGACTGGGCTCTCAGATTGCATCCAGGACACAGCCACTTCCCAAGGTGAGAGCTAGCAGCTCTGAAAGCTGTACATACAGGCAAAGCCCAGGCTGGAGATGGTAATGGCAGCCACCTCAGTCCTCAAGGATGGTCAAGGCCATCCTGAGGCCTCCAGAGCCATGAGCATGTAGACTCTGCATGTTGACACCTTCTTTCCTTGCTGCCATTTTAAGATGTGATGGAAAACAGAAAAGAAAGGCAACACATGGCTGTATGGGTCCAGAAAATTCAAGGAGTCTCTTCTGCCCACCCTCTCTGAAAGGGTTCTAGAATCTGAGCTGTGGTCTTCTGTGATGTTGCCACCAGGTGGAACGGTGAAGGGGGCACTTCCATCCCCCTCCTCTTGACATCGGCTATGAGCTCTGAGGGAGATCCCCCATTTCTGGGACTATCAGAGGGACACACCAGGCCCAGTAGTCCTGAGATACCTATGCAAAAGTGAGTTCTTCAGTTTTGCTTTGCTTCACTTTGTTTTTTTTGGTACTGAGGCTCAAACTCAGGTCCTTGTGCTTGTGAAGCAGGCAACAGAATCACTAAGCTAAATCCCAGCCCATCCAGTTTTTAATATTGGTTTTCCAAAACTATTCTGATGGCAATTACAGAACTCATGGAAGAGCCCACATTAGTGATGTAAAACCCCAGTGAAGAACAATGGGTGTTTTTTTAAGAATTGACAAAGTACGCTGCCCATTGATATCAGGTGTGATGTAGACGAAGCCAGATGGTGACCAACTATCTTGGTTTTCTGAAGTCCCCTGGATTCTGGGGTGGGACACAGAGAAAAGAGCACTGGTGTGGCGATTCTTATCTGACCTCCACCATCTGACTTGACCCTCTCTGACTGGGGCTGTCTCCTTCCCACACACTGGCCACAGTTTTCTAGGACAACAGGCAGGACCAGGGTCTCAACAGTGAGTACAGGTATAGGCTCAGGGCCTCCTAGAAGGTGGTATTCTGCAGGTGCAGATATTATTTAAAAAGTGGTGGCAGGAGCAGGGACCTGCTTGGCTCTGGGCCCCCTCGGGATAACTGTGCAGCTGTGGGTCACCTGTCTGGTCTGTGGAGTCAGTGGCAGTGTTGTAAGGCACTCCCGGGGCTAGGGAGTCAGTGCTGAGGTACAGGGAAAGAGGCAGGGTCCTCAGGCAACCAGGATACAAGAGCATGAGCTCTCTAACAAGCCAGTGAGGATGAGGGCAGTCACCTGCCCAGTCTGAAGGTGGCCTGGCCTGGTACCCCAAAGGGGCCACACCACCACCTTCTGCTGGAAGACTTGCTAAGGTGGGAGCCTGTCTCCAAATTGGAGCTCCCTGGCAGTCAGTAGCTGGATCCAATCCAAGTTCTCCCTACCCCTGGGGTGACTGTTCCCCATACTGCTTGGATGGTAATACCATCTCTGCCTTTCATTCTCCAGAAGTACTTCTGAAAACTGAATTCTGCTGCCATACAGTCCTGGGGACTTCTGAGCCCCAGTGCCATAGCCTCAATGAATGCCCTGGGCTTTAACTCTGTGCCTGGGCACAACCCTGCCCAACTACAATCTGCCCTCTAGCTTGCAGGCTGGCCTCTGGAGGAGGTGAACAGTGAGTCACACCTTACCCCAAGGAATGGTCTCCTCCTACAGGGCATTCAGAAGAAGTAGATCAGTCCCCAGACCAGCGGGTCAGTACCAAGAAGCTGGGGGCTACTCTGCCTCCCTCACCTCCGGGACTCAGATGATTGTCAAAGTTACAAAGACAGCAGGGGCGGACTAGAAAGTGTCAGGGATATGATGCCTGAGCTATTGGTAGTTGGGAAAACCAACTGAAAGGAAAGCAGAAATGCACATCTGCTAGTAGGCACAGGGGCTTGGGGGACTTGTCAGGAAAGGTAACTGTGGCCTTGCACAGACTTGGCCCAGCAGTCAAGTATCCTGCATAGACAAATGCCGGCTAGGGGACACTGGCAACAGCCTGCGTACTCTCTTTCTGCGCCCCTCCCCTGTGTTGTCATCCTTGGGAAGATTCAGGGCGGCCTGGATTCTGAGGTCCTCATCTAGGTGATAGGCCAACAGAAATCCATGAGGAGACAGGCACAGTCTCAAACTCGGGATTTCTCATCTCCTTTCATTCCTGAGACATTGCAGAAATCTTGCTCATGGTTCTAGAACCAATCAAAAATGACACCAGGCAGGTATCCAAGCCATCACAGCAGGCACTGGCTATTCACCGGTGAGATAACCTTCACTCCTGTTTATAGATGAGGATGTGGAAGTGTATGGTGAGGAGGTGCTGGGCAGACCAGGGAAGTGGGAATCCATAGCATTACCCACAGCGGGGCCGGGCAGGACGTGTAACACACTGTGTGGCTCACAGACCCTGGGGGGCCACACTCCACATTGGTCTGCCTCAGAACACCAAGCTCCTTCCCCGAAAGAGGAAAAGAGAAGAGAAGCAGAGAAAAGCAACACAAACCATAGTCTTGATTACTGTGAGAGTTAGCTGTCTGAAAAATAATAACTGCTCATATTTGAAGACATTCAGTTAAAAAAATGAGCACTAGCAAATCTATCAAATTGTTACTGCATAACCATGACATGATGTGATGCTGTAGATGTATTAAACATCTGGATGCTTATACAATATAAAGTTACTTCCACCTGCTGAAATTACAAGGGGTTTAAATTTTTATAAGGTTTCACATGTCTGCATCTTAAAATATTCATATCTTCATGTGTGTTTTCTTCTTTAAAATATCAGTCTATTTTTACTTATCTGTTTTATGGTTATTTTCTAATGTAAATTACATATTCCAATTAGAAATATATTAGGCAATAGTTTTGAATAATTTTTGATCTTCTAATTATTCCTTGCTTATTCATTTAAGTCCATTTACTATGTATTTAATTTATTTGGGGATTGAAATCCAAATAGTAGTGGTATTAATGTATTCAAAATTTTTATAGTTACCTCTTACTTTATGACTCATTTTGCTTTTGTTCCTAAATTCAAATCATTTCATTTTGGGTTATTTTATACTTTCCAAAATTGTATTAAATTTAAATTTAAAATTATTTGTTTCATTTGCTATTTTTTAACTTCTTTTCTTAATTCATGCATAGGTAGAGAAACATAAAGCATTTTCAGTTTTTATTTCTATCTGCAATATAGAATATATACAATTTCTAATTTTCCAGCTGTCACATTATTATCTACCTAATGCTGTTAGTACTTAACTTATTTTGCTAGTTTTCTCAATTACTGGAAACCTAAAGAAAAAACTGAAAAAACCATACATGCAAAAATGCATTCACTGCAGTCTTTTTTAGGATAAGGCCGCCCCAGAAACACCAAGAAAGTGGGGTCCCCAGAGTCTGTCCCAGGCTTTCATTAAAGACAAATACCTCAGAAACAACATGGCAGAAAATCAATATGGAAGAAAATAATTACTGCATCCTATGACTTTATGAGCATCATAGTTACTCAGACTTAATGCAAAAAGAGTACAAAGAGACACAAAACTACAAAAAAATTAATTCAAGTCAATAAACATAAAAGGTAGTACTCAGAAACACCAACAAAGCAAAACAAAAACATGCAGGCCAATTAAAAGGAAGTGGTGTGATATTCCCTGGGACTGAATGCTACTGAGAACAATGTCCCTAAAATGGTGCCTCTGTAGCTTTGTCTCTGTGAGCCCAGGTAGGCTCTAAAATAGGTGATCCTCTTCCACTGCCAGCTGGCTGAACAGAAGAAGATGCCAGCCTTATGAGTCACAGGGACTCAAGGCCCCAGCCCTTTTCTTGGGGATGCACTGCCTGGACAGGAAGTCTTACACACAGAGAGCCTTTCCTCCTCCCCCTTTGTAGGCAGGCCTGGTGATTATGCTAATTTGCCCCAGGCGCCAAGTTTCTTGTTGCCTGGTGACAAAGTTTCCCAGTGGTGGAGGAGGACCTGGGACTGGGTAAGTGTTTGCTTGGGTGGTGGACGATTTGCTTTAATTTTGCCAGACTACTGCTACTTCAAACTGCTTTTTTCCTGCCCTCTTTGACTGAGCAGCTCTAGAAATGCTGTGCTTCTGACGGGTGCTGTTCTGTATTGACCCCGGACGCCACCTAATGCACTATTTATAAGCAGCAGCTTGCCCTGGACCCTGGACCCACCAGAAAGAGCAGCTGCTGTCAGGGTACACAGCTTGGGGTCCTCAGGTACCAGGGAGGTATATGAATTAGTGGGGCTTTGAGGGTCACCCTTGATTATCTTTCCAAATTGTGTCTGCTCCCCCACCCTCCCAGGGCAGGCCATTGTTTGAACTGCCTGCTTTCATACAGGGAAACTAAAATGAGAATGCAGAGCACTGGGCTCCTTCAGTGCTCCCACCTGGTCACTGGGGGAGTCTGGAAGCAAACTCCTGAAAGTCACCCCAATACTGGAGCCCAGAAGCACAGGGGTTTAGCCCTGGGCTGAGCAGGGCTTTCCTTACAGCACAGACCAGAGCACACCCCTCAAGCTGAGTGCCCATTTTCATGGAAGTGTGTTGGGAAAAGGCAGGACCCTACTCAGAGTCTCTGTGACTTCAGTCAAATTACTTGGCCTCTTTGGGCCTCTTGGGCTATGTGTGCCCCATGGACATGGAACTCAGTGCATTGGACAGTTACAGAATCATCTATGGGATCTGTAAGATGCCTGGGTTGGGGCTGGTGGCTCATATAATCCACATGTGCAGCATGGAGGCAGGAATCTAATCTCCTTGTGTTACAGCGTAGTCTTGTTGCTTTGCAAAGGCATCTCAATGCTTTCATGAATAATTTGGGTACTCTGAGAGCCAATTGCAGGGTAACAGCTCTAGACTACAAATAGTGGACACAGGAAGGTTGAGACTTGTGCCTGAGTCAGAGTGCAGGAAAGGACAGTGCTTGCCTGGCCTCCAGCTGGGTGGGAGCCTCCTGCGGAGAAGGAGGCTGAGGTGGTTGATGTCCCCAGGTCCCCCACAGCTGCCCAGTACTCCTCCTTTCCCCCACCAGCATGGTGACATGGGTATGTAAGCCAGGGATGTCCCCTAGTCCCTCACCCTCTAGGACACAGGCGGGTGATGCCACATGGTTCAGCCCCAGCCATGGTCCACTCCTCACCGAATCCACTCTGTGGATTCAGTTCTGAGCTCTCTACCAGTCTTAGAGCATGCCACGAGTCCTAATCCCCAGAGGAAAGGTCTGGGGATGTGCACCTGCCTTCTGTTTGGCTTGGAACTGAGCCATGAAAAGCATGAGTTCTGTCTGCCCAATGAGGCCAATTTGTCCCAGAACATTGTAAAGTCAAACTCCCATGGCAGTTAGGGCCCCAGGAAGGGCACTTCACAGAGCCTGACTCTGTCTGAGTGTGTGACTTTGACCGGGGCCAGGATAGTGAGGCCCCATGTTTTATCTGTGAAGTGGGATGCAGTGAAAGAGATAAGGCATGGAAAGCACAGAATCTGCAGCCTGGGTGCATCACTTCCAGGTTCTCAGCCTTGTCTCTGAGCTCCGCCTGCCCTCTGCCTTGGCTGCAATCTGTCCTCCCTACCTCAGAACGCATTTCCTTCTCTTCCAGGCTTAACTGAGTTCAAACAGCTCCCGCTGTGGCCCCTGGACCCCCTTTCCAGCACAGGTTTTCATGATCACACAGTTTGTGCCATTTGGCATCTGTCTGGACAGTACTCCTGTCCCCAGGAACCATGCTGAGGGTTGGCTCCACAATCAGAGATCAGCAGACTCATTTTACAGGTGACAACCGAGTCTCCCCCAGGAAACCTCTCATTTGGAACTGGATTCCTGTTATAGAATTAAAATTAGATGGAGAGACAGTGGCTGGCAGTAATTATGCTCCAAGCCAGGTGGTACCTGGGGCAGAAGGAGTGCACATAGCACAGGTCCCATGAAATCAGCTGCACCGTGACATGACACGAGGCCTGTGGATCCTGCAGGTCACTGTCCCTGCACCCTCAGGATCCAGTAAAGCCTGGGCTTGGAAAGGCAAGGACGCCACTGTGTAAGAGGGTGCTGAGCCACAGGGTCCAAGTGGGGCTTTACCCAGGTGGGATCTTGGGGCCCTAGCTCTATCTTGGGTCAGTGACACTGTCTGTGCCACACTGTACTGCCAAGTCATGGCCAGGGTCCCTCAAATCCTCAGAGCTGGGAGCATCCACTTATTCATCCATTGGCAGCTCTCTGGGATGGTGAGCAGGAAGCTGGGGTCCAGGCCACCTGCTCTAAAGCCCCTTTGGGTCCACTCTGCCACCCTGCCATGCCATTGTCATGAGCCCCATTTCCTAGTTTGCATGGGGAGGAGGCAGGTGACGCTGTAGACACACGGTGGATGGAAACTTGCAAATGTCCCTGGCTGAGAAGGACCAGGTCTGCCTAGGGTCTTTTGGCCTCTGCTTGTATGAAGCCAGTTTGCCTATTTTCAGCACATGGCTGGTGAACAAGACTGTTCTAGCCTTTTAAACTAATAATCTCAGTATTTTATTTTAATTGTAAGACACCTATTCCCCTTTGTTCCTTCAACAAATCCAATTAAAACAGAGCACATTTAGAATTACAAAATAGATGCTATTAAACCAATAAGAAATCATGATCTTTCCTTTTGGGGCCATGTGACCCCTTGGGAACTCTTGCTCCAAATAAAAGTTGAATTCTCATTATGCACATGGGGAAGGGGACAGTGTGACAAAGAACACTCTCAGACAGCCCATGAGCACAGCCACCCTGGGCACAGAGGAGACTAAATAACATCCCACTGGGCAAAGCAGGATATGTAAGGTCCCAGCAAGACACTGAAAGCTGCGAGGGAGAATTAATTAAATTGATAGATTCGAACCAGACCACTCACATATGGACACCCTATGTGTTTCAGGTGGGGTGGGGCTCTGATCACAGGAAGAAGGTTCCCTCCCGAGCATATGCTTGAGCCTAAGGCCACTGCACCCCACCCCCAATCTTCTCTTTGTCAGAGGAGAGTTGTGACAGTGGGTGACAAAGGAGAGGTCAGATCACTCTGGGAAGGAAAGGACACAAAGTACCTCTGAGGGCTGATTTAATCATGGGTGCCAATGGCAGCTGCATCAGGTGACAGACACCTGCACTTCCAGTACAGAAGGTCCTTCTGCCTCGGTGGGCACCAGGGACACAGCTGGCTGACATCCCCTGTCCATGCCGGGGAAAGAGTTGTGTCTTTACACTCTCAGCTCACACTCACTGTGTCACTGTGGGGACCAGAGGGGCTGAGCATCACCGATTCCTGCTCCATAACTGCCCCCTGGGGACCCAGGGCCACTGACTGAGCTGTCTGTGGCATTATGTGGGCCCTTTCTGGTGCTTCTATCTCTTCTTCTCTTTGCACCCCATCATCACCAGCCAAGCTCTTAACGGTTAAATGACTCCATTAATGCTATCAAGAAGTAAAATGTGCACTCCTTGTGGATTCCATATGCAGGCACATGCACAACTATGGACATAAACCCCTGACTCTTCCCCTGGGCAGCAGGGTAAGCAGGCAGGGGACAAGGACATCAAGGATGGCCTCCTCTTTCTGGAGTCAGTGGGGCCAGTGCTGGGCCTGGGGTTAGGGCTGGTTTTGCTGTGGGACAGCAGGAAGGGAGGAGCTCAAGGAGGCGGGGTATAGGAAAGGTCACACATGTGCTAAGGTATCAAACTAATCCAGGTTCAACTTCAGCTGTGCTGTTTGTAGACCACGTGATGAGGAGGTGAGGGGGGCTTGCTTGACTTCTCTCAACTCCATTATTTTTAAAATGGGGTCAACACTGGCATAACTGCTCTCGAGATCAGAGACACAGGAAGAGCCTGGCAGCAGCTATGTGGCAGTAATCATGGGGCATCTCACCTCATGCATGGTAGGGTGAGGCTCTGGGCACTGGGAGAATTTTCTAAATAGATGTCAGGAACCCCAACCGCAGAGTCCCACCAGCCTCCAGGCATCTCTGGTGCCCACCTACTCTCTGAGTCCCACAAAGATCTCTGTGCCTCTAGTCTGCAGCCTTCCTAGCATGTCCTCCAGCCCCTAGGAAAGGAGGGCTCAGCCTGCCTTACCCCAGGGAGAGGGAAAATGAAGCACTTCAGTTACACCCACAAAGAGCCAGTGCTCCTAAGTCCAGGTAACACCTAAGGCCGATTACCGAGCGCATGTTTCCCGGAACAGTACAGGCGCTAGACAAGTGCTCATCTTCCTCCCAGCACTGCTGCACCCTCCTCAAACATTAGTGCTGATTTTAGGGGCCATGCCAGGGTTCCAAAACCATCCACTCCACAGACACGGCCTCTCACGTGGCTCCCCGCTGGAAGCCACAGCCCCTCTGGCTTTCCAGTGAACCAGCTGTTCTGGGGAGGGGCTGAGAGCAGAAGGAATGACATGAAGCCACATGAAACTCACAGAAGTGGGCTGGCCTGTTACACACCCAGGAAACATGAAGGTTAGAGAGAGAACAAACACAATTGCAGAGAATGCTCACTTATAAAATGGTTCAACTCAGCATCTCCCGATATTAGGATGTTGTGTAAGTAGAAACTGTACCAGGAATTTTGAATTCATATGCAATATGCCCTCTGGTCCCCTCTTGGGATTCCAGGCAGTTACACAGTGAGGCACAGCCCCCAGGCGGCAGGGGGAAGCAGCTGACTCTCTGCACTGTGCTGTAAGTTAAGGGCAGTGAAGTGCAGTTTCCACTCACAGCATTGTCAGCTGATGGTGGCAACAGGCCTAACAGGTTGTAAGCCCATGGTAAACCAAGGAGCATCTGTGCTTTTGGATCAATTCATGGCTGAGGAAATCTGTATCCTTTCCTCTGAAGGGATGGCCTATAAGCAAAAGGAATTTCTCACATGTAAAGCAGGGCACTTGCTACAACCTTTGTCCCAAACACTGTCCTTAGATCAGTGGTGACTCTAGGGATTCAATTCTATATGTGTC